GTGGGCATGGACGAGGAGAAGGTAAGAGCCGTGAGAGACTGGCCCCGACCTAAAACCGTCAAAGACCTGCAGCGTTTCCTGGGTTTCTCCAATTTTTATCGGCGGTTCATCAGAGGTTTTAGCGCTGTGGCAGCGCCCCTGACATACCTGCTCCGGACGAAGGGAAAGCTGCTGCCGTGGACTCCCGATGCAGAAACTCCGTGGACCACGTTAAAAACCCTGTTTTGCAGAGCTCCTGTCCTGCGACAACCGGACCCCGCCGAGCCGTTTATTGTAGAAGTAGATGCCTCCGAGGTCGGGGTGGGTGCAGTGCTATCCCAACGTGCCCCCTGATGGTAAGGTGCATCCCTGCACCTTTTATTCCCGCAAGCTCACCCCCGCCGAGCAGCAGTATGACATCGGGAACCGCGAACTTCTCGCAGTAAAGGAAGCCCTCGAGGAGTGGCGCCACTGGTTGGAGGGAGCCCAGCACCCTTTCCAAGTGCTAACGGACCATCGAAACCTCGAATACCTGAAAACCGCCAAGCGACTCAACCCCAGGCAAGCGAGGTGGGCTCTCTTCTTTACTCGCTTTCTGTTCAAGGTATCCTACATCCCTGGGTCCCGGAATACCAAGGCAGATGCCCTCTCCCGGCTCTACGATCCCCCAGCGACACCAGAGAAACCCGCCCCTATCCTACCCGCCTCCTGCTTTCTGAGATCCATTACCTGGAACCTGGACCGCGAAGTGCATGATCAGCACCGGCGTCGGCCAGTACCTGCAGAGTGCCCTCCGGGTAAGCTCTACGTCCGCGACACGCACCGCCAAGCCCTCATGCAGTGGATCCACACCTCCCCCAGTTCAGGTCACCAGGGAATCGCCACCACTACCCGCCTGATCTAACGCCACTACTGGTGGCCAAATTGGAGAGAGGACGTGGAGGAATTAGTGCTTTCCTGCCCAATGTGTGCCCGATATAAGGCAGATCGGCACCCCCCTGCCGGGCTGCTTCAACCCCTGCCGACCCCCCTGCGCCCATGGTCCCATATCACCCTGGACTTCATGACCGACTTGCCCCGCTCACAGGGTCATACGGTGATCCTAACCATTGTTGACCGCTTTTCCCGAATGTGTCGACTCCTCCCACTGCCTAAACTGCCTTCCGCCACCGAACTCGCGGATTATTACGGAATCCCCGAGGACATAGTGTCCGATAGGGGTCCGCAGTTTACCTCCCGCGTCTTCTGCGCTTTCTGTAAGCTGCTTAACCC